ATCAATACAGGACAGTCCTCAGAAAAATGGAGCTTTCATCTTAAACCAGTCGTTTGATTAGTTTTAAGGTAAACCTCTCCATTTATACAGGGAGAAAGTTGAAAATAATTTAAAAATAATTTTTGAGTATATGGATGAAGTCTAGTATGAATGTTATTTTTAAAAATCAAGGGTATATTTTTATTGAGTACCAATGACACTGAATAATATCTAAGACTGTTCATCAAAGGTTGCCTATGTTGCAGGTACATTTGAGAAAATTTTGGGTATTTTTGAAAATGCTGAACAAAATTTTTCTTTCAGAAGTTATCCTTTATGTGTTATAGCAGAAAAATATATAATTAGGCTCAGTCTCTGAGGACAAAGTATCACTCACCACTATCACTGTTTAACACAGCTGATGTGATCACAATCTCCAGATTCTTTTTTTTAATTATTACTTAAAATTTTATTTATTTATCTTTGCATAGAAGAACTGGGGCGTAGGCCAGAGGTGGGAGTGTGGGAGGTGAGAAGATCCACTACAGAGACTGGGGAGCAGAACAGGCAGATCTGAAATCCACTGCTGAGGGAGCGGTGGGGAGACAGGAGAGTTCTGCTTTGCCACGCGGGTCAGCTCCCTGACTGGGGATCGAACTCAGGCCATCCAGGTGGGCCGTGGGGCGACAGTGCTGAGACTTAGCCCCAGGTCACCAGGGAGGCCCGCCGTGTGCAGGTCTGTGCTTGGCCTGCCTCTTTATCTTTGGCAGCTTCTAGATCAACACGCGCCCACAGCTGTGTCATTGCCGCTAGCTCTGGCATACAATTAGTCTTCTGATGAACTATGCAGGTTGCTTTATTGCTCTGGAGATCATTTTCATATGCAAGGCCTTGAACTTTAAGGAATCTACATACATTATATTCCATATGTCACTCTTTGGTACAGTTGATTAGAGTGTTCAATTTCCAGAGCCTCAAAGTTCATCCTCTTTAGGGTGAACCAAACAAAAATAATTGTCCTTTTCTTTTTCTCTAAAAATACATACCAGAATTTTTTCTCCCCACTATTCTTAAAATGTGAAGGACTGAAAACAAACATTCCAGCTGCTTTGTAAAGAATCACTAAAGGAGAGCTTTCTTTTTCTAATGAATAGGTAAAATAATCATGAAGTTTTGGGTAAAATGGGATTCCAGATCTCATGGGGATTTAAAACCAGCTTTCCAATTTCAAGGAAATCAATAGATTTTATTACTAGAAAATCAGTGTTTATATTAATTTAGGCCTGGAACTTTCTTCCCCAACATAAAGAATCTCCTTCATTTCTATGACAGACTATGATTTGCAAATTTTTGTTGTTCATATTAGTATTTAAAAAATACACAGAGCTTCAGCTTTTTTGAGGTTTCTGACTTTTCTACTATGCTTTTGACACTTTAATGACAAATACTATAATTTATGTGACAAATACCATAATGCAGTCATCATTTAAGAAGCAGAAAAAGACACATGCTATTTCCTAAGCTGTGACACTATAGAGCAAAAGAGCTGTTCAGAGAATTATAAAGGAAAAAAGGTTTAGAGAGAGTTAAACTCCCTATTAATGAGGAAATTTCAAAAAAAAAAACATTCAACTTGCTTAGATTTTACTCAATCTTTGCTACAAAAATTACGTTAAATTATCCCTGTAAGACCTGTTTTAATGTTTTATAAAGGCCATGACTTTAAAGACAATGGGAAAATTATCAGTAAAACATTTTAGATTTCCATAATCTCCAAATTATTAAAACACATTTTTTTATGAACTAGGTAATATGCTCTTTCCCAATAAAGCTAGTGCTCAAAAAGGCATTAAATAAGACCAGACACAGGATACATGCTTATTTCATGCCATAAACTATTGCTTAATAATTTGGAGTAATAAAATTCTATGTACTTTGGAAATAAATCTATTTTTTTAATTAGAAAAGATACCTTCTATTCATTTTTTTTTTCTGATCCTATCACCTTTTTTCCCCCAGCCATGTCACGTTAGCGTGAACGTTTCTGTATTTCGCAAAATGGATGGGGCGAGAGGGAGGCCAGTGTGGTGGGAGTGTGTGGGGAGAGAGGTCTGGTGCCCAAGAGCCGCTGGTGTGATGAGCTCTGCAACTGTTGCTCCTTTGGGATTCCAGAGGAGATGCCCGACGTGGGCCGCGGAGAGAAAGGATGAAGCGGGCGAGAACGCTGGTGGGCAGGAAAGTGACTGCAGGACCCGCGAGCTCCCACAGAAGCCTCTGGAACTGAGAGCCACCCCCTTAGCATGCTGACGCTGCTGAGGACCACAGTGTCAGAAGGGGCCTCGCGCAGGCCTGTCCACACCGTTAGTCCAAGAGCCAGTGACCTTCTGAGCCCAGCGACGGGGCCATCTCCAGGGGCGGCGTCACCAGGTGAGGGCGGCTGGCTGGCGAGAAGCGGTGCCTCCCTGCAGTGAGCACGGCACAGCGAGCAGCTCTCAACAGATAACCCAACCCTCCCCGACTGTTTGATTAAAGGCCAAGTAGAAGTTATGATGATAAAAATGTTTCCATAAAAGGCTGGTTTATCATATTTCCATTATAAGCGTACATGCTAACACAAACATAAATTATTATGTAACTTCCATATAATAAATTTACTAAATTACAGCTAAGGAAACAATGTGTAGAGCAGGCACTTTGTACAGATACTCCATAAAGGTTACTGGCTACGGCATCAAAGTGTTCCTTCTTCAGGGTGAACCACAGCCTGGTCTCACTTCTAACAGTTTCTAGTCAAAAGTATCGCTCAGCTGAGGATCGCCTGTCTTCATGGTGGTACCAAAGTGACATGTATTTAGTAGAAACTACACTTAGAGTCTTGCTCTCCTCGGGGACTATTGACATATGCTCCCAGCTCCCTCTTGAGGCTGGGCAGCAACAGCAGAGACCCCCCCCCCCCCAACCCCCCACCCCACCTCCAATCAATGTGGGCCAGTGGCAGGGCTCTGCTGTGAATACCAGACAGGGCCTGGGGACACGCTTTTGCCTGTCCTGGTTTGCACTTTCAGCGAGTGGCCAATAAACTCCACTAGTCAGATAATGTGGCAAAAATGTACGTTGGTGTCCCACGCACACTTACGGCCAGCAAGGAAAACCTGATGTCCGGTAGGTTAGGTAGTAAATGCATTTTTTAAAAAAAGATTCATTTATGCATACCGAACTAGGGTACAGGCCAGAAGTGCAGGTGCAGTGAGAGGACTCATCAGAGACAGAGTGGGGAGCAGGACAGGCAGATGGGCGAAGTCCACTGCTCCTGCCTCTGTGTGACAGCTGACACCATGATGCCTTCCCCGCTTCGGTGTTGGTGTCTTGTGTCCAGACCCTACCACAGAGCCTTCCTGGCACCCACAGCTCCACCTGTGGGTCACGTGTTTCCGGGAAGTCCTCTGTGCAAGGTGCGCCCTGTTCCAGAAAGACGTGGGCTCTAAGACAGACGTGGTTCACCGTGACCACGAGGCCATGGAGGGTGGCCGTGGCCGTGAGCGGCGGCCTGCCTGCTCCTCAGGGCCTCACTCTGGCTGGAGAACTATCGGACAAGACGGAACTAGCTCGCTCTCATCGGGGTACCTTCTGGGGTGTGGAGAAGTGCTGCAAGTGCTACTGCAGGAAGGCCCTCTCCCCTCACCCCCAAAAGTGCGATGGACGCAGGGGTCTGTCCACTGCGTCTTTCTGACGCGCCGCTCTCTGGGCCTTATGTGAGAGCGCCTGTCCCTCTACTTCTGCTGTTCCTCCTCCCTGCCTGATGAACCCCCGGGTCCTCCCTTCACCCAGCTTGGCCCTAGATCTTAGTCTTTTTTTACTATCAACTATCCACTTTCAGGAAATCTCCTCCTAGATTTCAGTATGCCAGAAACACACAAGTGTATATATATATTCCAAATTTTTGTCTAGCTAGATGCCTTCTGGAGCTCTACACCCTTAGATAATTGATGATTTCATGTCTGCTTGGATATCCAAAGAAACCCTCAAATTCAGAAGTGACCCCCCTACTCCCCAAGGTCTGGGTGTCCCTTAGCATTCCCTTCCCCAGCAATGACAGCAGCCTCGCCCAGCTCCTCAGCCAGGCGCCCCAAGTCCGCGTGGCATGTCCCCCGACCTCCCACATTCAGTCCATTGCTAAGCCCATCGGAACTTTGGAATCTACTTCCTCCCTCCCATCTTGGCTGCTGCTGCTACTACCAAATCCAGAAACACAGATTAGTATAAAGGTAATAAAAGCTAATAATTATCAAAGGTGCATTACAGCCCCAGTAGGAAATCTTAAAATATTATATAAAGTATCTCTTCTAATCATCTTATGACATAAAAGAGAGCGCTTGACATTTGTCTGTTGGGGCCACCTGAGTCAAGCCTGGGCATGAAACAGGGGGAGCACTGATTTTATCAGGGGGCAGGTTGCTTCTCCCCCTGCTTCCCCATCGCCATCTACCTCACGCACTGAAGGCCAGTCTATTGCCTGATGAGAACATTCGTTTCCAAACAGCTCAGATTGTAAATTTACAAGTTTTATTTATTTATTTTTTAGCATTATTTACCTTTTGCTGTCATTGAAGCCCATTTCTTCTTGGCCTTGGTGATATGGGGGTGGAGGGGTCACATCACTCCATACATTTAATTTCCGCATTCCCTAACGCATTTCATGACAACTGACTACACACCGCCTTGTATAAGTAATAAAACCATTTTATATGCTTCCAGAATGTTGCTATTCTGCTTTAGTCTCCACAGGTAGATGCACAAATACCAGGCGCACTAGCATTCTGTTGGCCTGGTAACAGGCAATGCGGTCTGAGTGTACAACTGAGGCTTCCAGAGGAAGAGCTGCAGGTGGCAAACAACGAGGGCAGGGGTGATCTGCACCTCGGGGTCACACAGTCTCACAAAGCGGTGGTAATTTAATAAAACCCAAGTTAGGCAAATAAATGAAAATGAAAAATGACAATTAGCAGTTCACGCCAACTTACTGTTAACGCTGTCTCATACTCTCCAGAGGCCAAGTATGCTAAGCCCAAGTAATAGGTAGCTTGTCCTTCCATCTTTTTGTCATTTCCTAAAGTGAAAATGTCCAAAATTAAACATTAAACAACTGATTTATTACAACCAACAGAATCTTTGCTTTTTCACATAGTAGAAATTCATTTTAACACGTTTAATTTAACACGCTTATCACTGAATCCTGTGTACCGAGAAGACTGATTGTGCGTATACAATTTACCTGGATCACAGACGTGAGAGTGAGAACAGTAAGCTGTTTAATTACGAGGCATTCCCTCCCCATGCAGGGCCCTGCGTGATCACTCTGACGGTCACATGTGATTTCTATATGGTTCCACCATGTTGAACCCTACCACACACAACCCTCCCCACCCCCACCCCCACCACCACACACACACAGACTGGCACTGGGCTAAGTTGCTAAAGGGGCAGATAACTAGCAAATCAAGGTGCTGTCATTTTAACGAGGTGTAACTTAAAAGCTATGGGTTCAGGGCTCTCCCTGGTGACGTAATGGGTTAAAGCACTGCACTATGAAGCTCTCTGAAGTCACTGCAGCACAGGGGAGCTGACCCACATGGCTCAGCAGACATCTCAACATGCCTGCTGCTCCCCTAAGTGGTGTATTTCAGTAGATCTGCCTATTCTGCTCTCCACTCTGTCTCTGGTGAATCCTCTCACCCACCACAACGCTGGCATGTACCCCAGTTCTGTAAGCATAAATAAACAAATCTTTAAAAAAAAAAAAGTGGTGGGTTCAAACTTTCCTGAAAATGACTAAGAAGTCTTGACTCTTGCAACAAAATTCCAAGTACATTTTGAAATCTAAACACACATTGCTTTTCTTAGGCAGTGCTTTTCATCAGCTTTACAAGAGGAACTGTTTTTCTAATCCCTACATATTATGCCTTATTCCTGGAATTACCAAATTCCCTCCAAAAGCAAAATGTGGAAGTGTGGAATGTGGTTCAACCAGACACACATCGTACTATCTAATATGTAATTTGCTTACGTTTATGTATGAACTATAACATGCACATCTAATATACTTGTAAGAACCACTACAGGTTCTCACTTTTATGAAGAATGCTATCCTTTTTCTACTCTTAGAAGCATTGATATTTCAGTGACTTCTAACTCCAGGGTAATGCAAACACGGGCGGATTCACCCTTCACCTTTGTTTTTGATTTTGGAAGGAAGTATCCTCAGGTTTCTGAACTCTGCACTCTGACCATGATGGATTTCACAGGAGCAGCAATTCTCACTGCTGCAAGAAGCTCACTACTCACTGAATTGCCACTCATGAAACAGTGGCTCAATCAGAAGCCTGAGAAAATAGGATGGCGAATGCCAGCAATGGCAATTTTTTCTACTCTAACAATTTTACCAATTGCAGGGAATCACACCCTCAAGATCTTACTGCAGCAAAGTTGATGGTGCCAGTGAGTCAGTCTGGAGAAGTGTAACTTTTTATTCATCTGGGCTTTAACTGTTCTCGCTATTGGATTATGAGTGTTGGGCTGGGGGGGGGGGTAGAGCAGGAGAGGATGAGGAGGATGAAGAGTTTATGAGGTTAACCGTTGGGTAATTAAAAGCTGACTGTGATTGGAACTTGTGCATCTGTGTTAAAGCAATGACCGGTGCTGAAACCAGATCATCACTGCATCTAGTTTTATGGAAAAAACAGCCCAGCAAAAAGGAAGCGAGAGAAAGAAAATTCTACCCTATAGACAGTTTTTGCAGTAACTTAATTGAAATAGCTGGGCCATACCCATCAACTAACAAAAAAATTACATTTAAAATAAAACTTAAGTATGACAACTTTCCCTGCTTACTGAGGCAATGTTAAAGTGAAAACAACAAAATAATGGAGGAAAATGTCAGCACTGTTAAAGTTGAGGGACAGAGATATTTAACAATAAAAGAGGGAGAAATACTGTTTATGCTGTGTGGTTTATTTGAATGGGTTAAGTTACTACTGGCTTTGCAACCCAAGTCAATCGTAATTTATCATTTTTTAAAAAAATGTATTATTTTATTTATGCTTACAGAACTGGGGTACAGGCCAGAAGTGTGGTGAGTAAGAGGATTCACCAGAGACAGAGTGGGGAACAGAACAGGCAGATGGATGAAGTACACTGCTGAGGGGAGCAGCGGGCGGGTCAGGAGAGGTCTGCCGTGCCAGCTCCCTGACCAGAGATCGAACTCCTGCCGCAGTGGCTTTGGAGAGCTTCAGAATGCGGTGCTTTAACCCATTGCACTGCCAAGGAGAGCCCCATTTATCATCTTCTAAAAAAGATTTATTTATTTATGCATACAGGCCAGAGGTGCAGGGGTGGTGAGAAGACTCACGGGAGACAGAGTGGGGAGTAGAACAGGCCGATCGACGAAGCACACTGCTGAGGGGAGCAGCGGGCTAGACAGATCCACCGCGCCATGTGGGTCACCTCCGGGGCCGGGGATTGAACTCGCACTGAAGCGGCTGAGACCAGCTTGCAGTGCTGCGTCCTAACTCGTTGTGCCACCAGGGAGGGACCAACAGTCATTTATCTTAAAGAAAACATCATGCTTTATATTCAAGGTCTAAGGCTCTCTAGATTATCTACTAGACAATCAAAAGAGAGGACCTCAGGCAGGGGAGAGGAGAGCAACAGCGCACTTGAGAGAACTGAATGCGTCACAGAAATGTGCCCTGACATTTCCATTTGTTGTTTAGTTAATACAGAGTAACCCACTCATCTGTTCAATGAAAATGTGTTGAGGACCTACTGTGAGCCACGCACAGCCCGACCAGGCACAATACAGCAGTAGCTCAGCCAGCACACTCTGTCTCTGGGGAGCTTACAGCATAGCATGCAGAGACAGAAAATAAACAACAGACACAATAAATTGCGTGCTAAGTTGTAGGGTGGTAAGTTCTCAGGGGCAAAATGAAAGCAGGGCAAGAGGAACTGGGAGTGTTAAGTGAAGGTTCAGAGAAAAATAATCAGGTTTCAGTGTACTAAGTACAGATGTCAGGGTGGTTGTGCCACTGAAAAAGGGTATTACAAGAGAGTGAAGTTACAGCTAGATTACAGAAAAATTGGGGAAGCTCACAATTACATGGGGATTAAATAAATTCCTATGTAACTAGATAGGAAAATAAAATATGCAACCCCAGTGGGGCAGCAGATGGATGTGGGGTGCAGGGCTCAGCATAAACAATAAATAAGTAAATAAATCAGAAAAAATACGGTAATACTACAGCCCCACACTGTGGGACCCAGCCAAAGGCGTATATAGAAGGACGTGTGTAATTATAATCCCCTACTTTCAAAAATAAGTAACATTTTTCAACCTTAAAAAAAAGACAGGAGAAAGAAAGTCTAACTATACCCAAAGCAAAAAGAAAGAATAAAAACTTGGGTGTACATAAATGAAACAGAAAACAGAAAGACAATAGAGAAAGTTTAAGAAATGGTTTCATTGAAATTGTCAACAAAAATCCACAAACCCCTAGCTAGATTAAAAACAGAAAAACAAAGCCCAGACTCATCTGGCATTACTAGTGATTTTTACCAAATATTTAAAGGATTATCAGTACTATTCATCCAAAAATTATTTAAAAACACTTCCCAAATAGGTAATATTAGCCAGTAATATTGTAACATGAAATGACATGAAGGTATCACAAGAAAACTAAAAAAACAAAAAAACTTCCTTTATGAATATAGCTATAACATCTCTCAATAAAATGTTTTCAAACTGCACCCAGCAGTGTGTAAAAAGAAAAGAAGATGGAGTGGAATTTATCCAAGGTATGCACAGTTGGTTCAACACAGGTCAATCAATGTACTATACCAAGTTCATTGAAAAGGCATAAACCACAAGCTAATTTCAGTGGAGACAGAAAAAAGTATTTAACAAAAGTTCAATCTGTTTTGGAGATCAAAAACTCTCAACAAACACAAAAATAGAAAGGAACTTCCTCAACCTGTTAAACAGGTTACAAAACACCCACAGCTGATAAAATAACAGACTGAAGCTTTTGTTCTAAGGTCAGGATGAGACAGAGATGGTCCTTGAATCTCACTGTATTTAGTACTGTACTTCGCTGTCCAGGGCAATCAGGGAAGAAAAAGAAAAGGCATTTGTAGAATAGGATTTTTTTTTTACCTTTATCATCTGGAGTTTGAGCCAGAGCTGAGATTAAATTGACATAGAATAGATTAGCAGAAAAAAAATTATACAAATTTATTAAGGATTTAGGAGACACGGAGCCCTTTACAAAGAATGAAGAGAGAAATGAAATGGTGAAAATATATGTTTAGGTCGAACAAAGAGAAACAATCGTGGAAAAGTAACTATCGATGCAGGGAAACTAAAGGAAAATAAGAATCGTTTTAGCAAAAGGCCTGTTTCTGCAGAATTCTCTTGGCTCTGACCCCCCAATACAGGAAGTTTCTATTTTCATAGTTTAGGGGCAGCATCTTTCAATAGTCAGTATTTAATTTTCTGTTTGCAGAAAACTGAGGGAGATTAAAATGTTGTTTACTGTCCTGTTGTTTTTTAAGTACCTTTAGCTCAAAATATTCTTTATGCCAAAGTGTGTTTTTTGGGGGTGTCATTTTCTACCACGCTTCAGCATCAAGATCAGAAAGGAAGAAATGAAAATGTTAATATATTTTCAGGAGACACGATCTAATATATTAAAAAAAATTAAGGAATCTGAAAGAAACCATCAAAGCTAATAAACAAGTTTAGCAAGATTGCATCAATAAACAAAAGGCAATTTTATTTCTAAACACAAGCGATGAGCAATTTGAAAATGAAGGGGAAAGATCTCACTTGTAACTGGGAAATTAATTCACTAAGTTGGAAGAATCACATTCCTCACTTTCAAAAATGTGCTATGAGACTATGATAATCAAGTCTATATAGGAGTGGAACAGGAATAGCCATTTAGATCAATAGAACTAAGTGCCCAGAAAACAACTCACATACTTATGGTAAATTAATTTTTGACAAGGCTCCCAAGAATACTTACTGGGAGTGAATAGTGTTTTCAACAAATGGTAGCAAGTCAACTGGATAGCCACATACAAGTGAGAAGGTTCTATAACATACCACGCACACACGCACACACAAATACAGGCACTAAAAGAACAATCAAATGCAGAATAACATGCAGGAGTAAATTTTCTTGATTTTGAGTAGCAGAAGCCTCGTTATATCAAAAACACAAAAAAAAGGAAAATGAAGATTAGTTAAAAAGCATAACTGCTATCTTCATGAAAAACCTGCACTCCTAATAAGCTTACGCAGTAATAAAATATCCTGCATTTCATAGCAGACAACCTTGTGAGTGTAGGTGCCTCATTTTCCCTTTATATTTGATACATATGCAAATGACACAGAACATGAAGCCCCCGGTCAGCTCTCACACAGTTTTCTCGCTGTTTGTAAGTGCGCCCAGGAATCACCTGGGGATCCTGTGGACCCACAGCTTGGGATGGGTGGTTTCCCGGGAGCACCCTGTCAATGCTGCTGGGCTGCTGCCAGGCCAGAGGCCACGCTGTGACCTTGGCAGGTGCCTACTCTACCACGTATTTGCACTCCATCTGCCTGTTACTCCCAACTTCTCATGTATCATGACTTCCCTATTACCTTTCACTAAGGAAATTTATGAACAATGAAAGATGTGTCAGGTGATAGAGACATGACATCCGTCCCACCTACACACAGTGTGCGCACACACATTCACACACACACCCCTCAACTTTTGCAGATGACTTAGCCCGCTCACACGTTCCTTGTTTTATAACACTCCTCTCAGAGGGTAGTAATTTTGGAGCTAACATTCTCAGGAAACTAATGGGTTTCTGGTTGTCAGCACTAAGGCACCTCTGTTTCACAGTGAAATCTCAAAGTATATTGATGGCATTTGTCTTTGCATTTCACAGGAAATAATCACCCAAACGCTTGAAGATTTTTACTCCACTCTCGGGAGAAGCCGCGTCTGCCCATTAAAGCGAGCAGTGTTCTTTCCACCCACCTTCTTTGGCTATTTCCGAAGCTTTTATTAGAATTTTGATGGCCTGTTTGTATTCTTTATTTTTCAGCATTTTGTCTGAGAGTAATCTGTACGTCCTCAGGAGACTCTCACAGGCCAACAAGTTGAGAAAGAGACCTGTCTCATCTTTCCATATCCGCCCTTGCGTCAATTGATGAAAGGCTTCATAATGCTCAGCGGCTTCCAGAAGCTGACCTGAAGAATAAAAGCCATTCGTAAATATAAAGCACAGGCCAGAGCATATTTTCAAAATTTTTGCGTACATCGTATACTTTATGAAAGGGGCGGGAGCGGGGGTTTAGGGGAGATGAGTATAGACTTGAGACGGGGTTGGGGGGTGGGGAGTGGGATGTAGGGAGCAGTGAGGTGAGAGGGCGCCTTGGTCTGCAGTGGGGAACTACGGGTTTTTCCGTGGTGATCTGGTGCGGTAACATATACCAGAGGTGTGAACTTGCACCTGCAAATCACATGCATACAGCGTCGTAAACCAGGGTTCTCTCAGCAAACAGCAATACACGTGAACAGCAAGAACAGTATTCATCGAGAAACCCAGCAGCGGTGGATAATCAGCAAATAATCCGTACAAAACCTCAGCAAAGGAAGTCTGAACCCTTGCGGCACACGCCAACTGAGAGCCCAGCAACAGAGATACAGACCGGGAATGCGTCCTGCAGGCTGTTTATAAAACTGTACTATGAAACTGCCACAGGATAGGAAGGCTAGAAAGACACCGATATTATAGAATATTTCATTACATGGACAGGTGGTGTTTAAATAAGCGAAAATACTGGGAAACATCAGAAAACATTTACAAAACATAATCAGTGCTAGATGGGTGATGGGTGGGGACTTCCTTTCTGATTACTGGTAGTGACTAATGGTTCTATCATCCAAGAATATTTATTTTGTAATAAGAAATACACAATAGAAGTTATCTTAAAAGTAATTCCCCAGGGCCCTCCCTGGTGGCCCAGTGGGTTGGGGCACCATACTGCGAAGCTAAGCCAGACCATGGCCACTTCATTGCAAGTTCGATCCCTGCCCTGGAGGTGACCCACATGGTGCAGCAGACCTCTCCTGTCTCACCCGCTGTTCCCCTCAACTGTGTACTGTGTACTGTCGATCTGCCTGTTCTGCTCCCCACTGTTTCTCTGGTGAATCCTCTCACTGCCCCTACACCTCTGGCCTGTACGCCAGTTCTGTATGCATAAATCTAAAAATAATAATAATCCCTGATCCTCTTTTACCTTTTGATACATGTACTCAAGGTTGATCACCGTTCTAAACTATCTTACAATTCTTTCCTGACTTCCCACAAAAGCAGGCATAATTTTTTATGACTCCTGAAGTCCCTCTGACCAGAAACACCTTTCCCCCAAATACCCCTGCCCCTCATTTTTTGGAAAACTCAAATGGAACACTGACATATGTGGGTTATGCTTCCTCTGTTAACTATATTTCTGCCTGTGAAGTATAGCTCTGTATCCCTAAAAAGTGTATAATGAGTCCTTTTCTTCCCTACCCAGCATCCACCTATTCATAAGGCACAGGCACACATTTCTCTTTGGCCTTGTGAACAGGGAACAATAGAATAGGGGACTATGAGTAAACTAGATAGTTCTGGGGGGGGGGGCGGGAATAGACTGTAAGGAGAATAGGAAGAACCCAATAGCACTTGTGATCACACAGAGTCATCGGATGGAGAGAGTCCAGAGGTGTGGGGGAGTTAACAGATTCACTGAGAATTCAGGAGGTGAATCAGGAGGGGAAGCTCAGGTAGTCCAAGAGTCTCGATGAGATGCAGATGAGGTGTCTGATGAGATGCAGATGAGGTGTCGTGTCATTATGCAAATAGTTCCTGAGGACTGATAGTCTCTCCCAGGGTTTTACCTAAGGAGGAAAAAAGAGGTGATAGGAGGGAGGAAGGCTGGGAAGGAAGGGGGGAAAGGCAAGAGGGAGGAAGTGGGGAGAGGGCTGAAGGTGAGGAAGAGTGCAGAAAAGGTGGGCTGTGCCTACAACCCACGGACACCTGTCTCTCCTCGGAGCACCCCTCAGGCGTCCTGCACAGGCAGTCCCAGCAGGAGTGAGCGGCGTAGGTGAGCTTCTGGGGACACTGGCTTCCCCGGTGCGGAGTGGCTCCCTGAGCGCTACAGAAGGCCGTTGAGAAGTAGCCTTCTAACTGAATCTTATTTTTGTTAGAGCTTTGGAGGCTAGAATCAATGTCCTGTTTTTAGCTTCTGATCACTGGCCAAGGGTCTGCTTGAGGTCTCCTGAGATGCTCACTACCAGAAGAGAACAGGTCACACATTTAGTCCAAGTTCTTCCTCATATATTATCTTACCTAGTGTGGTAAACATAATTATTACGTTTACACTAAAGGGAAAACAGGCTTACAAAGGCTAAATGACTCAAATAACTTAAAAGGATGTTTAGGATTTAAAATCCACACAGCCCCTGGTTCTACTGTATCAGATGCTAGACAAGACCAGAGTCAGAAACATGGGTGTTAGAAGTGTGGCCTCTGTACATAAGTCTTTCATAAAAAGTGAGGCTTGAGTTATGTGATTTCTAGTCTCCTCTAAATACTTCCATAATTTTATGATGTTCCCCAGGGGATCCCAGATAGCCCCTAACATGAAAGCACAGAGGTCAGCCCCTAGTGTGCTTCTGACTGGTCTCTTCTGGGGGAGCTGATGTATCAGCAGCTGTGGGCCAGCACACAAATTCCCCACTTTAATCTAAAACATGTAGTAACACCAGGAGGCCCCTGGAATTCCTTGGGGGTCTCAGACTTAGTCGTCTGTGGCCATACCTAACTATTCATGGTTTCACTTCCCCTTCCTTAATCACTTTTGCCACAGATCAAGGCACTAGAGTTTCTGGCACTATTTTAAGCCAAGGTACGTACACAGAGAAGCAGTTTTTTGGTTCTTCTCAGATATGGAAATTCATTTATTTCTAAAAATTATTTGGCATGAGTACATATGTGAGCTAGGATCTAATCCCAGTGACCATCAGCACACAAATGCCTTCCTAACAGCTTCTAAAGACTAGTAGAATCTGCAAGTATGTATTACACTATAGTATAATATTTGATTTAAAAATATTAAAATATATGTCTATACTATGAAGGGAGCAGAGTAATTTAAATATGCAAATATTTTCCTTTAAGCATGATTATCAATGATATGATTTCCATCCTCTTTATAGTTCCAACTGTGAATATGACTTTCAAGATTCTGCGTATTAATATCAAGACTCTGATATTAATATTAAGACTATCTAGTCATTGAGGCATAGTACACATGCCTTTATTTGAAAATTTCAAGGCTAATAATATACTGGAGAGAAATAGTATCAAAAGTCATCAATGCAGTGAAAATCTTAACAAAGTCAAATCTAAATATAAGTGAAGATCAAGAACCAGATTTTGAAATTTGGCTCATAACACCATGTTGCAAGTTCAAGGTGTTGCTAGACAATCTATCCATGGAAACAAATAAGCTTTAATGTACCAGAACCAGGTGAGATTTCAGAACCTACTGCCCACCTTGTGGAGGGACCCGGGTCTAGATAACTATCCTCTGGAATTACTAACATTATATTCCCCAGGAAGAGGCCAGAGAGAAGAATGGCTATACCATGGTATCTCAACCTGAGAGCAAGACAGGACAAAGAAGGTCTCTAGAAGATGCAGATCAAAAGGGCCCCTCGGGGCATCAGCTTTGTCGGGTTGTACCAGGCATTAGTGGTGACTCTTCATATCACTGAGTAGTGGCGTCCACAGGGCGGCAGAGATGAAGACCACCCTAAGGAGCGAAAGCTCACAAAGCGCCTGGAATGCATGGTTCTAGGCCAGGCAAACATCCAGAGCCCACTACTGTTTCAAGCCAATCTAAGAAGAGAATGGAAACAAAATATTTTGCTGGGGCAACTCAGATGGCTTTCCACCAATACCATCAGTAATCAATTTCTCTCAGTAACATGTGGAGTTATCAGAAATCACATCTTTGGAGACATGTGAACACTGGTATGAAACTTTAGTCCAGGGAGGGCTCCAGAAGCTTAGCCTTGGGCTTCTTTTTCCTTTTCTTTTTCTTCGAAACAATTATATGACACTCACAAAAACAAGGAGGTTGGTGTGCATTTATAGTTTTGCACCTAAAAGTAAGTGCCCTCTTAAAATGACTACAAAGGAGTTTCCCTTCACGAAAACGCACACAAACAGGAACCCCATCCATTTATTAAAACAACAGCAAAAGACCAACAATACTGTCAACAGCAAAACACTTGGTACACAGTGAAGACAAGCGCTATGTCGAGAAAATAACATCCTATAAATGTGGGTGTGACCCAAATTGTTGCGTACCCCTCTTTCCCTGCACAACCAGCTCTGAAAGTTTATAGATATTTGTTGTATCACAGCAGATGTCTAGAACAAATATTAAGCAAAGGAGAATGTATATGATCTCTCCCATTTTAGTTTTTTTTAAAGTAGGAAGATTGACTAGATATTAACACAAATGGGTTTAAATGTGAAGCTGCCATAAAAGCAGGAACATAAATGTAATTCTCCCAGCCGCTATTTTGATGCACATTTTTGATTCCATGAATATTTTATGAAATGGCCCAAACTAAAGCCATATAACATTCCTGCATTACTGATGCTTGCGCCCGTAAGCTACGAACATTAGAGGCATGATTGAGTGCATTAAAATGAACTCATTCAGCAGTGCATTGATTACTTGAAGGGGGAGGGAAGAGAAAAAAAGAAAGGGGAGGAAAAAAAAAAAAAAGAAGTTGCTCCACTTAAGAAAACAGCACACCAATCTAAAGTTGGCAACATAATAAGGCTGAAAAGCAAGTTTGAATAAAATAATACCCATCAATGAGGCCTGATGGTCTAGACCTGACATTAATTAGGCAAGGTGTTAATTATGGCCCAAGATGGCTCCTGGTATTAGTCAGGTAACTTAAAATGCCACCCTCTCTAAGATGCACAGGCTGGCCTGCTCGATCTCCCAGACATCAGCAATTCTGAAAGGAGCTAATTATTTCTTTTTCTATCAACTTGTACACTTGCCAGTAAAAATAATGCTAGAGAAACAATTGCATGAAAATAATCTGACAGGTCTATAAGACCAGTTTTTTCAGCAGCACTGACATAAGTCTTAAGCATACTTAGTTCTCAATTG